AAGGTATTATGGCTTTGCGTCGTGCTAAGCGCCGTAATATGGAACGTTTGGCCTTGGCTTGTGGTGGCACAGCCATGAACTCTTTCGATGATTTGGAAGAATCTCATTTGGGTTATGCTGGTTTGGTCTATGAGCATACCTTGGGCGAAAACAAATATACTTTTGTGGAAGAATGCAAAAATCCCCAATCAGTGACCATACTCATCAAGGGTCCCAACAAACACACTATTATACAAATCAAGGATGCCATCAGAGATGGTTTGAGAGCTATCAACAATGCCATTAACGATAAGGCTGTTATTCCTGGCGCAGCTGCCTTTGAGGTCAGAGCCTTTAATCAATTGATGAAATACAAAGATACCGTTAAGGGTAAGGTACGTTTGGGTATTCAAGCTTTTGCTGAAGCCTTATTGGTTATACCCAAAAATTTGGCCATTAACAGTGGTTATGATGCCCAAGATACCATCGTTAAGTTGACTGAGGAAGATCGTCTTAATCCCGATCCTGTGGGTTTGGATTTGTCTACCGGTGAAGCTATGAAACCTGCCGATTTAGGTGTCTACGATAATTACAACGTTAAGAAACAAATCTTGAATTCCTGTTCGGTCATTGCCAGCAATCTATTGCTGGTCGATGAAGTTATGCGTGCTGGCATGACCAGTCTTAAGGGTTAGTTTTTTCCTTTAAAGGAAAAACTTCTAAAAGTATTTAATGGAAATAAAAACACACCCGCTTATCTAACATTTTTTTATCTTACTTTTTTTTTCTTTTATTGGTTTTTAATACCAAGTTTTGAGACTCTATTGTTTGCTAATTAGGTTTCTTTATATATTTTAAGACATTTTCTAATGATTTATTTAAAGCACTTTGAAAAAAGCTAAAAAAAACACTTAAATCTCTAAAACATTAACCCATTTTCTGTGAAATTTATTCAAAAATAAAAACAAGTAAAGCATTTAACAATTAAAAACAAAAGTGAAAAAAGTACTTAAGAATGAAAGCTATCAGTTTTTGAACTCAATAAAAAAGAGCGAATAGGATATTTTTTTAATTAGATATAAAAAGAGCAGTTTTAAACGATCCATGGAGTTTCTTTACAAAATTGTCAATATTTTCTGAATTCCAAAAGCCATGAATTCAATTTTCTTTTATTTTTAATTCTCCGTTTTTTTGCATTTTTTTTTTTAATATTTTGTAAATTTCAGAAATTATGATAAAATAATTTATTTTTATTTATTTCTTTTCGAAGTTTACAAAATGTTTCATCTGGCAACTCTAAAAATAACAGTATTTAGTTAACATTGAAAATGTATGAAACACCCTGTGCAAATAAAGAACGCCAACAAGACCGAACAAAACTTTAGTTTTACCGCAAATTTTGTCGGAAATGGTTAGTTATCGAAAAATTTAGTCAATCGGTGTTTAAAAAACTCTTCAAGTAAGTAAAAATAAGTTCGATTTGCTGAAAGCGGCTCGTTTGATTTTAAAGGCACACGAAGAAATAGAGTCTTTGCTATTGGCATCCAATCGCCCCGAATATGGGGAGACGGCTTTGCATTGTTTTAATCAGGATGTGAAATAATGTCCTCATGATTGTATCATTAAGACAGCCATTATAAGAGAAATGATTCCTTTATAGTCTCATGATGAAGTGGCGAGCACATTCAGCTTGCCGGCACATCGTATATACGAATTGGAATTGGCCACAGAACAATCATTAAAAATCATGTTTATCGTAAGGCCTTGCACCAGTTAGAGGATACTGTGTATGAACCTAAAAAGCTATATCTATCAGAAGGCTTTGGCTAGAGTAGAAATGTTAAGAGTACTGCTCTTAGTGGTCCTAACACTGCCACCATCACGTCAAACTCCAGCTTATAGGCATTAAACTTATAGAATTTTATGTTCAATTTGCCGAATTTCAGCCGGAATAAAATCGAGTGCCAAGTCCCACCTATTCACCTGTTCATATTTGACTCAATTTCAAAAATTTGATTTGACTGAAATCATTTTAGCTTGGCATCTCAATAAGCTGCGTGATTTAAAAGTTTCATTACAAGAATTTCGTCATAATTTTATACATATCGTTGTCCGAAACAAAGATTTCTGATAAATAGTAATACATTTAAAAAAAGCTGATAAAAAATGTTAAGGAACAGTTCCAGTAGAAAAAGGTTAAGCATTTCTGGATTATCTTTTTAATTAAAAATATTAAACATACCTTTTTATTTGTTTATTTTTTAGTGGATTAAGACAAGATTTTAAAGCAAGTTTATTTAAGCAAGTTCAATAAATTATTTTGCCGGGAAAACGTAACCGGATCTAAAGGTAAGATTTTAAAATATTTATTATTGATATTTTTAGTTTTAAAATCTATAATTTAACATTTTAAACCTACAATCTTTTATTGCTCTCAATAAGTAACGAATATTGGGAAATTTTATTTGATTAACAAGATGATCGTATTATTGTACTGGATCTTTAAATTATACAACAGTTTTTGAAATGATAACCTCATATTTATCCTCCAGTTATTGATCTCATTAAGAAATGTGGACAATATTTGTTAAAAACTTTAAATAATGATCCGATTTTTCCTAATTTGTCTTAGATTATACTTCTCCTTCTATTCTCAACAAAAAATTTTGACAATCTTTGCCTAAAACTTTTAGAGTTTTTCGCTTTGAATCAAAGAATTTTTAAATAAAATTTTGGTAAAATGGTTATCTTCAATTCTAATTTCTTTGATTTTTCCAAAAACCTTTGAAATTTCTTAAGCACATTTCATTTTGCAGCAATATATTTTTCAATAAATCTTTAGATTTTCTTTTAAAAAGTCCTTAAGGAAATAAATTCTAATTATTTTTATTCAGAAAAATAAATAATATTTTTATTGTTTAAATTTATTTTTATTTATTTCTTTACGTAAAATTTAATTATTTTTAGTATTTTTTAACAGATTAGTAAATTTTTAATTGTTTTTAGAAGTTTGCAAAAATGTTTCATCTGGCAACTCTTAAAATAACAGTATTTTGTTTACATTGCAAATTTAGGAAACACCCTGTGCAAATAAATAAAGCCAACAAGACCGAACAAAACTTTAGTTTTACCGTAAATTTTGTCGGAAATGGATAGTTATCCCAAAAATTTGGTCGATCAGTATTTAAAAACCTCTACAAAGCTAAAGAAAATTGAAAAGGCAGTCTTCAAGTAAGTAAAAATAAGTTCATGTGTTTTTTTATTGGAAAAAAACGATTGTTTTCCTTTTCCTTGGGGAACAGACGTTTTGGGCCAAATGTTTCCGAAGTTTTAGAGGACTATGGCCGTTTGGCTATTAAGTTTGAAGAGGCCGGCATTTATCAATATGCTGCCATGTGCCAGCTGGGTGTTGCAAAATGTGAAAATTATTTACAAAATGCTATGGCCGAGTGTCAGGCTTTACTGAAAGCGGCTCGTTTATTTTTAAAGGCTCACGAAGAAATGGAGTCTTTGCTATTGAGATCCAATCGCCCCGAGTATAGGGAAACCGCTTTGCATTGTTTTACCCAGGCTGTGGAAAAATGTCCCGATGATAGTGTCATTAAGGCAGCCATTATAAGAGAAATGACTCCTTTACAGCCGCATTATGAAGTGACCAGTACTTTTAACTCACCGGCACATCGTATATACGAATTGGAAGTGGGCACCGAACAATCTTTAAAAAATCATGATTATCTTAAGGCCCTGCAACAGTTAGATGATATTGTGGACAATATTTATGAGCGTAAAAAGCAACATCTCTATCAGGAGGTTTTGGCTAGAGTAGAAATATTAAGGGTACTGCTCTTAGTGGCCCTAACACTGCCACCGGCACGACAAACCCCAGCTCATATAAAACTTATTGAGTTTTATGTTCAATTGGCTGAATTTCAGCCGGAAGAAAATCTAGTGCCCAGTCCCACCCATTCACCAGTGCATGAAGTCCACACCTTTAGCTCCTGGCGTCCGGGTTCATATTTGACACAATTTCAAAAATTTGCTTTGGCTGAAATCATTTTAGCTTGGCATCTCAATAAACCGCGTGATTTGAAAGTGGCGTTGCAAGAGTTTCGTCATAATTTTATATCGCTATCCGAAACTCAAAGATTTCTGATAAATAGTATTATACAAAAAGTTGATAAAAAGTGTTAAGGAGTTGTTCCAGCAGAAAAAAAGGTTAAGCATTTCATTGTTTATCTTTTTAATTGAAAATGCTAATTAAACATTCCATTTCTTTTGTTTTTTAGTGAATTAAGTCAAGATTTTAAAGCAAGTTTATTTAAGCAAGTTCAATAAATTATTTTATCAAGAAAAACGTCAACGGATCTAAAGGTAAGATTTTAAACTATTTATTATAAAATATTTTTAGTTTCAAAATCTATAATTTAACATTTTATAACAACAATCAGTTATTGCGCTCAATAATTAACAAATATTGGGACATTTGATTCACAAGATCAACGTATAGTTGTAGTGGATCTTTAAATAATACTACTATTTTTAAAATGATACCTTTCTATTTGTCCTGCAGTTGTTGTTCTTAATAGAAAATGTGAACAAGATTTGTCTAGAACTTTTTTCTAATGTTTTTTTCTTCAAAATCCTATATTTTTATTGAGAACAATAAATAATTTCTTTAGTTTTATTAACGTTGCACTTTTCACTTTTACTATAATTCATGATTATCATATTTAAAAAAGTTAATTATAAATTAAAATTATCTTAATTAAAAAAACCTTCACTTCTCTAACATAGATTCCTGATATAAATCAATTATAAATCTCTGTTGCCTTTTTTTTATACAAAACCTCTTAATGTTGATCTAAATGATTAAATTTTTTGCGTAATTTCTCACGTCGTTCCTTTTTAACATTACGCCATGGTTTTTCGGAAGGCTCAGCCTGCACTAAAGAGCCATCGGCCTGTACTCGTATATGGGGAAAATGAGTGCGTCCCTTGATGTGGGCGGCACCAGTTTGTTGGACAAAAAATTGTTTGTCTAAATCGTTAGAGGTGGTGTTTTTGTTAATCTAAAAGGAAAAAAAGAAATTGTTTTAAAATTTTTAAAGATATTTGCTAAATTGCTTTTAACTTACCCGCATGGCTCTTTGCTGTTGATCGGGTAGAGATTTTTCCTCTATGATTTTACGTGATCTTTCTGGAAATTTATGGTATTCTTCTTGTGCCACTGTGGGTGGCGCCACACAATATAACAGTTTACCATTGACATAATCCTTTAAAACATAACGAGCCGAACGAGATTGATCCGGTTGACCATTAGAGGTCATAAAACCGCGATTATCTGGTGGAAATTAAAAATGAATAAAGTGTTTTATGGAAATTTCCTTCAAAACTTACAGCCATAAGCTAATAAAAGTTCTTCAGAATGAGGGCATCTATTGGGATCTTCACCCTCTATGGGTTTGGTTATAATAATACCATATTTATCTTCCAAAACGTGTCTAGGAATGCGGGAACATAATAGATTTACCGGGGGTACATGGTCACGCATCTAAAATGTATTTAATTTTTTAAAATATTGAATATTTTTATAAACTTTGTTTAACCTACCTGATCTATGGGCAATATACCATTTAATATCATGTCTGCTTTGGTTAACACAAAACTGGGCATTACTAAGCCGGGACAATCACACAATAATAGATCTTGATCTAAGTATAACGTTTGGAAATGTTTAGTTTTACCCGGTGTGGCAGATACTGAAACCTTTTTTTCTATCATTAAAGCATTAATGGTACTACTTTTACCCACATTGGGATAGCCCACCAAACCTATGGTGGTTACTTTATCCGTATAGGTGGTACCCTGATAAACGGTCTTAAATAATGTTATAAGTTCTTCTCTGCTCAAGAGTTTGGCACTGTTTTTAACAAACTGCGCTTGTGCTTTTTCTTCTTGGGGTGTGGGCAGTTTCTTTTCAATTTCTTGCAGTTTGTCTTCCAATTGATCTAAGGTATTATTGATATCATTGGCAGCCTTTTTAAGTTCTTTTAAAGAAATGTCCTCAGGTTGTTCTTCTAAATCTTCTTCCTCGTCCTCCTCTTCGCTGTCTTCCTCGGAGTCTTTTTTTAAAACTTCTTCCTCATTTTCTTGTTGTTTCTTTAGCTTTAGCTCGGTCTTGACTGGTTTCTCCTCTTTACTTTCTGACGCCTTTTTCAATTCTTCGGTAGCCAAGGCTGCCGAGAAAAATGCCGTCCTTATGCCTTGTTCATCAAAATATTCGGCCCAATATTGTCTTTGTTTTTCAGTTAACAAATCTGACTTGTTAACTAAAATCATATTCATTTTATTGGGATTGACTTCTTTAACATATTTCTCCAAATCCTCACTTCTGAAAAGTAAAGGATTACGGGCATCTACAATTTGCACCACCACATCTGATCTTTCCACTACACGCCATAATTGACGCCAAAATTCCAAATTTTTCTCATAAGGTGTCATGATAATTTCTTCATCCTCCTGCAGTAAAGCCAAATTACGACGCCAATCCAAAAAACTTTCCCTTTCCATTCTCTGCAATTCATCGGCTGCTGTATCAGCCGACCATTTGGGACGGCGTGGAATTTTCAATAAATCCTTATTATCCTTGTGTTTTTTCTCTATTTGCATTTGTTCATTGCGTGACAGTAGGCCTACACCCTGTTTGGGATTGATAAAAGCTATATTCAGCTTTTCGGCCTGAAACTCTGTGCCAGCCAATTCTGCGGTACGCAAAAATTCCTGGAAAGAGGATTCCTCTGTCACTGAACTTAAATTCAAACGACCCCAGTCATAACCATCTTGGATTTCGGTAGTGTGCAACTATAAAAATGTGTAAAAATATATTCCTTTTAGCTAAAATTTCATTTTCTATATTTTTTCCCTTACCATAGAATCATTGTCCACTTTTCTACGGGGCGTATGACCAAAACGATCCTTTATTAATGTACGCCCTAAATTATTGCCTCCTTTACTTTTTTTACTCATTTTTGTTTAATTTTTAAGGCAAAATTCTTTAATTTTTACGATTTTCTTTAAAATTTCTAATAATTTCAACACGTGCACTTTGTTTAATGAAAAACAAATCAAAACAATGACCAGCTGTCAAAGTAAAACAATCACAAGAGGGTTTTTGTCAAAGCAGACATTCACAATAGTTGTTAAACATACAGTTGCCATATGTAGAAATCAAAATTGTATCGTTATTTGCTTGAGTTTGGAGTTAAATTAACGGAATTTTTTGAAATAGAACTGAACTATGTAGATCTAAACTAGAACGGAACTAGAAGAGAACTAGAACAGAACCAGAACTGAACTAGAACTGAACTAGAACAGAACTAGAACAGAACTAGAACAGAACTAGAACAGAACTAGAACAGAACTAGAACAGAACTAGAACAGAACTAGAACAGAACTAGAACAGAACTAGAACAGAACTAGAACTAGAACAGAACTAGAACAGACCTAGAATAGAACTAGAACAGAACTAGAACAGAACTAGAACAGAACTAGAACAGAACTAGAACAGAACTAGAACAGAACTAGAACAGAACTAGAAACAGAACTAGAACAGAACTAGAACAGAACTAGAACAGAACTAGAACAGAACTAGAACAGAACAGAACTAGAACAGAACTAGAACAGAACTAGAACAGAACTAGAACAGACTAGAACAGAACTAGAACAGAACTAGAACAGAACTAGAACAGAACTAGAACAGAACTAGAACAGAACTAGAACAGAACTAGAACAGAACTAGAACAGAACTAGAACAGAACTAGAACAGAACTAGAACAGAACTAGAACAGAACTAGAACAGAACTAGAACAGAACTAGAACAGAACTAGAACAGAACTAGAACAGAACTAGAACAGAACTAGAACAGAACTAGAACAGAACTAGAACAGAACTAGAACAGAACTAGAACAGAACTAGAACAGAACTAGAACAGAACTAGAACAGAACTAGAACAGAACTAGAACAGAACTAGAACAGAACTAGAACAGAACTAGAACAGAACTAGAACAGAACTAGAACAGAACTAGAACAGAACTAGAACAGAACTAGAACAGAACTAGAACAGAACTAGAACAGAAACTAGAACAGAACTAGAACAGAACTAGAACAGAACTAGAACAGAACTAGAACAGAACTAGAACAGAACTAGAACAGAACTAGAACAGAACTAGAACAGAACTAGAACAGAACTAGAACAGAACTAGAACAGAACTAGAACAGAACTAGAACAGAACTAGAACAGAACTAGAACAGAACTAGAACAGAACTAGAACAGAACTAGAACAGAACTAGAACAGAACTAGAACAGAACTAGAACAGAACTAGAACAGAACTAGAACAGAACTAGAACAGAACTAGAACAGAACTAGAACAGAACTAGAACAGAACTAGAACAGAACTAGAACAGAACTAGAACAGAACTAGAACAGAACTAGAACAGAACTAGAACAGAACTAGAACAGAACTAGAACAGAACTAGAACAGAACTTGAACAGAACTTGAACAGAACTAGAACAGAACTAGAACAGAACTAGAACAGAAACTAGAACAGAACTAGAACAGAACTAGAACATAACTAGAACTAAACTAGAATATAACTAGAACAGAACTAGAACAGAACTAGAACAGAACTAGAACAGAACTAGAACAGAACTAGAACAGAACTAGAACAGAACTAGAACAGAACTAGAACAGAACTAGAACAGAACTAGAACAGAACTAGAACAGAACTAGAACAGAACTAGAACAGAACTAGAACAGAACTAGAACAGAACTAGAACAGAACTAGAACAGAACTAGAACAGAACTAGAACAGAACTAGAACAGAACTAGAACAGAACAGAACTAGAACAGAACTAGAACATAACTAGAACATAACTAGAACAGAACTAGAACTAAACTAGAATATTACTAGAACGGAACTATTAGTAGAACAGAACTTGAATTAGAACAGAACTAGTATTAGAATAGAAATAGATCAGAACTAGAATTAGAACAGAAAAGTATTGGAACAGAACTAGAACAAAACTAGAACAGAGCTAGAACAGAACTAGAACTAGAACAGAACTAGAACAGAACTAGAACAGAACTAGAACAGAACTAGAACAGACCTAGAACAGAACTAGAACAGAACTAGAAGAGAACTAGAACAGAACTAGAACAGAACTAGAACAGAACTAGAACAGAACTAGGACAGAACTAGAACAGAACTAGAACAGAACTAGAACATAACTAGAACAGAACTAGATCAGAACTAGAACAGAACTAGAACAGAACTAGAACAGAACTAGAACAGAACTAGAACAGAACTAGAACGGAACTAGAACAGAACTAGAACAGAACAGAACTAGAACAGAACTAGAACAGAACTAGAACAGAACTAGAACAGAACTAGAACAGAACTAGAACAGAACTAGAACAGAACTAGAACAGAACTAGAACAGAACTAGAACAGAACTAGAACAGAACTAGAACAGAACTAGAACAGAACTAGAACAGAACTAGAACAAAACTAGAACTAGAACAGAACTAGAAGAGAACTAGAACAGAACTAGAACAGAACTAGAACAGAACTCGAACAGAACTAGAACAGAACTAGAACAGAACTAGAACAGAACTAGAACAGAACTAGAACAGAACTAGAACAGAACTAGAACAGAACTAGAACAGAACTAGAACAGAACTAGAATAGAACTAGAACAGAGCTAGTAGTAGAACAGAAGTAGAATAGAACAGAACTAGTATAGAACTAGAGCTAGAACAGAAATAGAAGAGGATTAGAACAGAACTAGAATTAGAACAGAAGTAGTATTAGAACAGAACTAGAACATAACTAGAACATAACTACAACTGAATTAAAATTAGGGGAATTAAAACACATTTAAAATTTTTAATAATATATTTTTTTCTTTATTACGGTCTTTTTTTCTTAATATTGTGTATAATTTGTTTTATACGCATTTTTTAGTTTTGCCTACAAAATAAGTAAAAATAAGAAAAACTTAAAAGTGAAATATGGCGTTAATAAATAGTGTTTTTTTCATCTTTTTTACCATATATAAAGTTAACACCTGCTATATGACAAATTTTTCTACATTAGTTAATAATTTGAAAAAATATTTGTCATTTAGCTAATGAAACATTTCATTATTATTATGTATTGTTTGTATATGCTTTGTGGTATGATTATATATAAGTAAATTGTATATAAACTTTTGACATATAAATATTTTTTTTATTATAATTTCTATATATAAATTTGGAGAGAGAGAGAGTTAGAGATAGATAGAGAGAGAAAATGTTAGTTAGAGTGAAAGAGACACATACAACATTTATATCACTAGGATTAATATTAATTTAAAAATTAAATTAAAAATTTTAAGAAATTAAAATAATAAAGCTTATTTAATAAGTGTGTTTACCTTAAGCTTTTTTATAAAATACTTAAGCTTTTAACTACGAGTATTAGTTTTTTTGAAATAATTATAAATTTTACAAAAAAAATTAATAACATAAAATTTTAAATTAGTTTTTATATATTTTATTAGCGTTTTCTGTTTGGTTTTTATCGTTTTTTTTTTTAGTTTTCTGTGTTTATTTTGTTTAATTATTGTTTTAAATAAATAGGAATCTTAAAGTGATTGTTTTTTTAAAGGTTGTTGTTTTTGTTTTCTCGCTATTGTTTTATATTATTTTAATTCTTCTTTAAACTGTTAATATTTGGTAAAGAAATTATTTGAATCTTTGGATTTATGTTTTTCTTTTCAATTTATTTGATTTTTTTGTTTTTAAGTGTTTTTAAACTACCTGATTTTATTTTTAATTTTTTTGTTTTCTAAATTCAGCATTTTTTATAAATTTCTTTCTTTTTTTCTTATTTGAAATTTTTTTGGTAATTTTATTTTCATTTTTGGTAATTTTGTAAATTTATCAAAAAATTTATTTTTTTTTATTTTTTATATATAATAATAATGCTTAAAATAAATATTATTGTTAGAAAATCGTTTTTTTATAAATTTTATATAATTTCGTTCTGTGCGTTGTTTTTTAGAGTATAATTTTGAAAAAGAAATAAAATAAATCTTTGGTTAAAAACAAAAAATAAAAAAATAACAAAAACAATAAGTTAATATAAAAAAAATATTTTTAATAACAAGCTTTTTATACTTTAAAATTCATGAAAATTTGGAAATTATTTTCAAAAATCTTTAAATTTGAAATTGGAAAAATATATAGAATTTCAAACTGTTTAAAAACTGATTTGGAACTGAACTAGAACTGAATTATAACTAAACTAGGAAAAAAACTATAATAGAACTAGAATAAAACTAGAACAGAACTAGAATAGAACTAGAACACAACTAGAACAGAACTAGAACAGAACTAGAACAGAACTAGAACAAACTAGAACAGAACTAGAACAGAACTAGAACAGAACTAGAACAGAACTAGAACAGAACTAGAACAGAACTAGAACAGAACAGTACTAGAACAGAACTAGAACAGAACTAGAACAGAACTAGAACAGAACTAGAACAGAACTAGAACAGAACTAGAAAACTAGAACAGAACTAGAACAGAACTAGAACTAGAACAGAACTAAAAGAACTAGAACAGAACTAGAACAGAACTAGAACAGAACTAGAACAGAACTAGAACAGAACTAGAACAGAACTAGAACAAACTAGAACAGAACTAGAACAGAACTAGAACAGAACTAGAACAGAACAGAACTAGAACAGAACTAGACAGAACTAGAACAGAACTAGAACAGAACTAGAACAGAACTAGAACAGAACTAGAACAGAACTAGAACAGAACTAGAACAGAACTAGAACAGAACTAGAACAGAACTAGAACAGAACTAGAACAGAACTAGAACAGAACTAGAACAGAACTAGAACAGAACTAGAACAGAACTAGAACAGAACTAGAACAGAACTAGAACAGAACTAGAACAGAACTAGAACAGAAAAAAGAAAGAACAGAACTAGAACAGAACTAGAACAGAACTAGAACAGAACTAGAACAGAACTAGAACAGAACTAGAACAGAACTAGAACAGAACTAGAACAGAACTAGAACAGAACTAGAACAGAACTAGAACAGAACTAGAACAGAACTAGAACAGAACTAGAACAGAACTAGAACAGAACAGTACTAGAACAGAACTAGAACAGAACTAGAACAGAACTAGAACAGAACTAGAACAGAACTAGAACAGAACTAGAACAGAACTAGAACAGAACTAGAACAGAACTAGAACAGAACTAGAACAGAACTAGAACAGAACTAGAACAGAACTAGAACAGAACTAGAACAGAACTAGAACAGAACTAGAACAGAACTAGAACAGAACTAGAACAGAACTAGAACAGAACTAGAACAGAACTAGAACAGAACTAGAACAGAACTAGAACAGAACTAGAACAGAACTAGAACAGAACTAGAACAGAACTAGAACAGAACTAGAACAGAACTAGAACAGAACTAGAACAGAACTAGAACAGAACTAGAACAGAACTAGAACAGAACTAGAACAGAACTAGAACAGAAAACTAGAACAGAACTAGAACAGAACTAGAACAGAACTAGAACAGAACTAGAACAGAACTAGAACAGAACTAGAACAGAACTAGAACAGAACCTAGAACAGAACTAGAACAGAACTAGAACAGAACTAGAACAGAACTAGAACAGAACTAGAACAGAACTAGAACAGAACTAGAACAGAACTAGAACAGAACTAGAACAGAACTAGAACAGAACTAGAACAGAACTAGAACAGAACTAGAACAGAACTAGAACAGAACTAGAACAGAACTAGAACAGAACTAGAACTAGAACAGAACTAGAACAGAACAAGAACCAGAACTAGAACAGAACTAGAACAGAACTAGAACAGAACTAACAGAACTAGAACAGAACTAGAACAGAACTAGAACAGAACTAGAACAGAACTAGAACAGAACTAGAACAGAACTAGAACAGAACTAGAACAGAACTAGAACAGAACTAGAACAGAACTAGAACAGAACTAGAACAGAACTAGAACAGAACTAGAACAGAACTAGAACAGAACTAGAACAGAACTAGAACAGAACTAGAACAGAACTAGAGCAGAACTGGAAGAGAACTAGAACAGAACTAGAACAGAACTAGAACAGAACTAGAACAGAACTAGAACAGAACTAGAACAGAACTAGAACAGAACTAGAACAGAACTAGAACAGAACTAGAACAGAACTAGAACAGAACTAGAACAGAACTAGAACAGAACTAGAACAGAACTAGAACAGAACTAGAACAGAACTAGAACAGAACTAGAACAGAACTAGAACAGAACTAGAACAGAACTAGAACAGAACTAGATAGAACAGAATTAGAACTAGAACAGAATTAGAACTAGAACAGAACTAGAACAGAACTAGAACACAACTAGAACAGAACTAGAACAGAACTAGAGCAGAACTAGAACAGAACTAGAACAGAACTAGAACAGAACTAGAACAGAACTAGAACAGAACTAGAACAGAACTAGAACAGAACTAGAACAGAACTAGAACAGAACTAGAACAGAACTAGAACAGAACTAGAACAGAACTAGAACAGAACTAGAACAGAACTAGAACAGAACTAGAACAGAACTAGAACAGAACTAGAACAGAACTAGAACAGAACTAGAACAGAACTAGAACAGAACTAGAACAGAACTAGAACAGAACTAGAACAGAACTAGAACAGAACTAGAACAGAACTAGAACAGAACTGGAACAGAACTAGAACAGAACTAGAACAGAACTAGAACAGAACTAGAACAGAACTAGAACAGAACTAGAACAGAACTGAAACAGAAATTCTCTCTGAAGGAAGTTTTAAAACATTTACAGTAAGATCAGAATTTTTAAAATATATTTTTGACTGAATTACAAAAACATAATTTTTAGAAAATATTGTTAAATTTACTTAATAATTTGTGATAAATAAGTTTTTTGTTTAAACTAGTTAAATAACTAAAAAGAGACATTAAAGAGAGTTTAAGTAATAAAATTTAAACGGTTTTTGAAAAATAAATTACAAATGAAGATTCCAAAAACATTTTTAAATTAACTAAATGTATTTTGAGACAATTTTTATAAAATGTAAAAATTATACAACATTTTAAGTTGTAAATTAATTAAAATTAATATTAAACTTAAAAAGAATTAAAAACTTGTGTTTTCTAATACAAAATCTTTATAATTTTCTGAATTATGTTAAATTTTATAAAAATTATACTTTTTTTTTTGTTAATTTTGAAAGTAAAATATAAAATGATTTTTTGTTTTTTTGCCTTTTTAAATTTTTAAATGCTATTATTAAGTTCTAAATTTTTCTTGGTTTTTTTTTCTTCTTTAAATCACTGGTTTTTTATCTTTAAATATTTACACTTATTTGGTAATATTTTTATATAAAAATTAGTTTTTTTTTTGTAAAACTAAATTTTTTGCCTTTTCCTTTAGGCATTCATTTTTCCTTTAAAGTCTCTTTAAATTTTTGTCTAATATTAAATTAAGTTGAATATATATTTACAATTTTCGGGTCTGGGGTTTTTAAGAGGGGGTTGTCCTAACTATTTACTTAATACGCTGATGATCGGGTGTACTTTTTAAAATATCCGGTTGATGAGGATGATGTATATGATGACTTTGACTGTGCATAGAGTTCATGGTGCCTTGATGAGAACCGGCCTGGGAACGTGAACCTCCTCCGCCCCCTATTGTGCCCATACGTTCATGTTCACCGGTACTATAGTGTGAGGAACTTAAAGTATGCGAATGATTGGAGTTGAGTGTATGAGTGGCATGCGAATTCAAGGTATTATGAGCCGTAGTAGTGGCATTGGTCGACATGCCAGCCATAGTATTGCCACATAAGGTTCCAACCACGGTATTGGTACCAGTGCCTACCGCAGGCCGGGTTCTTAAAGATCTATGCGAGCCATTGCGTGTTAGGGAATTCATGTGTGGAGTGCCGGGCACTGTATGACCCAAAGCATTCATATAGTCTGCTATAAGTAAAGTAATTTCCAAAATTTTGGGCTTAGACATAGCAAATAGCAATTTTTGTTCTTGTGTTCCACACGAAGCCAAAGTATCTTCATTGGATACCACCAGCATGAAGTCATCTTGACAGCCTCCAAAAGTCATAACACTAGTATAGGGATATCTGGCTATGGGAGCCATAGAAGACAATTCCAAAACATTTAAAGCATCTTCTGATACCGCCAACCAGGCCATGGCTTGATCTGAGTGCCTAGGCTTAGCCTGGAATAAACTGGCCCCAAAATAAGGCCATTTACGGCAACAGGTTAAATATATTCTCACACAATCCAAAGTACTGCGTCCCTTTAATAAAATCCATTTAGTAATCAATAATTCTTGAATCTCCTTCAACTGCTCCGGATTTAAAGCGTCTCTATAGCGATAAGGATAAAACTTATCCAAAGCCTTTATGCCCACATTTGTGGTAGCACTTTTAGACTTTTCATGCGAGTAATCACCCATATCTATTTGAGCCATTAAAGAGGCCAATTCCAAAGCCAAATCCCTTGACAAGGGAAATCTTCCCTGCACTATTTGATTATTGGTTTGATAGCACAGCAATAACCTTTCCTTATCGGTTTCAAACTTAACCGTATGCTTCCAATACAAACGATTCTTATAGGTTAGCTGTATAACGCGTGTATTCTCAAATTTACCCGAACCTTTTTCTCTTAAGGCAGTCTCCCATTTAGAGATAACATCGCATAGCTTAGCCAAAGGATCTAGATAGTGTTCCAGGTCCTTTTCTATAGGATCATCACTGAATAAACAAAAACCATTGGTAGAATCGCGAGTGCCTATCTCTTGTGCCAAGGTGCTTTGGAATTCTTCGATAGTGGTAGAGCCATCAAAGGAGACAACCTGGAAAGAGTAAAAAAATCATAAATAAATACGAAATTGAAGGGGAATTAGAAACTGAAAGGATTTAATGCTAAATAATATTGTTCATTTTCTAACTCATCTATGTCAAAGCAAGTCCGTTAAAAGTCCGTCTTATAATCTTAATTTGATCTCTTTTTATAACCATTAGCGATTGCGCTTAATCTGAGCTGTATTCTTGAATCATTCTATAAGTTCTGTCTCTAATTATTCAGTGTAAACTTTTCGAAATACTCTTTCAAAAATTCTCTCAAAATAAGTCTCTTTCTCCACAATATAAACTTTAGAGGCCGAAGTAATGACTTTTGATCGATAGATTCTTTAACTTTGGTTTCAGTTCTCACTGTTGATCTTCGATCTCTTGTGAAGATCGTTGGTGAATTTCTCTCTATCGATGTCTTAATCAATCTTGAGCCCTCAATAGATCCATCAACACAGTTTGATTAGTTAATCTAGGGTTTCGAAGAGCTTTTCGATGATGTAGTGTTCTCTTGAAAGGGGCTTCAGCAGCCAGCTCTGGGAAACAATAATTCTGTAGTTCGCGTCTCTCAAGTTTGTAATGCTCTGAAGTTTGGAGTAAAGTTTAAGCTGATAAGATCAACTGCCGAAAAGCTTCGACGCTTCTTAGCTCGAGGGAACTTTACAGTTCTCTCAAGGGCTTTGTTGCTCTGAATACATTCTAGATCGATTCATATGCTTCTGGTTTTCGAAGGTATTCTGTGTTTTGATCTCGTTTAGTTGAATGATGATGATGTCTGAGAAAGATTAGCAAAGAAGTTTGCGTTTAACGCTTCAACTTGGGGGACTCCAATTTGAACTTTATTCAGCTGTAATCTGGGAAATTGTAGTTGGTCGCTGAAATACCCTGTATGTTCTAAGTATAGTCCATAGCTGAAATCCCCCACATTTATTGTGTCTATTCCTCATTTTCTAAATATTATTTTGTATTGATCATGTAACGATCAGTTCGAAGCTACTGCTTCTATATTCTTAGAAGGAATAGAAACCTCAAATGATCTGAAGACATCTCAGTTTGGGTCGTAAGTCATAGGTTTCAAAAAGGATCTTGTGTTACGATCGTGTAGAGTTTAGTTCCCAGGTGTTTGTATCGTTGAAAACCTAAGTTTATGTATGTATATCTCAAGTCTTATTGAGTTTTTATCTTGTAAGATTTTAGATCTATGGTTATGATCTGAAAATGAGTTTTTTGGTTAGAATGTCTTGGGTTTTTTAAATTATATTGTGTTGCGATCGTCTAGAGTTTAATTCGCAGGTGATCTTAAGGTTTGGTAAATAACAATGTCTTGCTGAAAATGCCTCAGATCATCAGTCTTTAGTTCATAGTGTTTTCTGGAATTTTCATTCTCTACAAGTTAGATCTAAAGCAAAGGAGATCAGATCTGAGAAAGAAGGGTCATTTGTTGACAATTCGTCAGTTCGTAGATATCTGAATTCGGAAAAGATTTTGGGTTTTTACTATATCAAGTTGAAATTAAAAGTAATTTGACGACTGTCGTGAAAAATCTACCAAATCTTGGGTTTCAGAGAGATTTTGGTACAACGATACTATAATGTTAGGTTTCAAGATGATCCTACTGTCTAAGAACGTTAAATTTCGAGATGATATTGTTGTTGTCTAAGAAAGTTGAGAAACGAGATGATCTGTTTAGTGTCTAAAAAAGTTAAGTTTCAAGATGATTCTTTGTCTAAGAAAGTTAAGTTTTGAGAAGATCTTGTCGCTGTCTAAGTTTAGCTTAGAGATGATCATACTGTTGTCTAAGAGAGTTGAATCTCGAGATGATATTACTGTTGAAAGTTCAGGAAGTTAAGATTCGAGATGATTCTCCTTCTGTCTAAAAATGTTAAGTTTCGAGATGATCCTGTTGTTGTCTAAGAAAGTTAGATTTAGAGATGATCTTGTTATGTTCTAAGAAAGCTAAGTTTGGAAATGATCCTGCTGCTCTCTAAGAATCTAATGTTTCGAGCTGATCATGTCGTTGATAGCTCAGGAAGTTAGGTTTCGAAATGACTCTGCTGTTGTCTAAGAAAGTTAAGTTTCGAGATGATCTTGCAGTGTATAAGAAAGTTAGGTTTCGAGATGATCTTGCTAGTGCTGATCATGCTATTGGTAGTTCAGAAAGTTAAGTTTCGAAACGACTCTGCTGTTGTCTAAGAAAGTTAAGTTTCGAGATGATCTTGCTAGTGTTTAAGAAAGTTATCTTTCGAGCTGATCATGCTATTGATAGTTCAGAAAGTTAAGTTTCGAAATTACTCTGCTGTTGTCTAAGAAAGTTAAGTTTCGATATGATCTTGCTAGTGTCTAAGAAAGTTAAATTTGGAGATGATCCTGCTGCTATCTAAGAAAGTTAGGTTTCGAGATGATCATGCTTTTTGTCTGAGAAAGTTGAATATCGAGATAATCTTGCTGTTGTCTAAGAGATTTGAGTTTCGAGATGATCCTGTTGTTGAAAGTTCAGGAAGTTAAATTTTGATATGATCCTCCAGTTGTTAAAAAAAAGTTTACGTTCAAGATCGTCTTGCTGCTGTCTGCGAAAGTTAAAGACCGAGATGATCTCGCTAGTGTCTAAGAAAGTTAAGTTGCGAGATGATCTTGCTAGTGACTAAGAATGTTCAGTTTTGAGTTTCGCGATGATCTTACTGTTGTCTAAGAGAGTTGAGTTTCGATGATGATCCTGCTGTTGAAAGTTCAGGAAGTGAAGTTTTGATATGATCCTCCAGCTGTCTAAGAAAGTTGAAGATCGAAATGATCTTGTCTAGTGTCTAAGAAATTGACTATCGAGATGATCTTGCTAGTGTCTAAGGAATTTTAATTGATGTCTAAGTTAAGTTTGGAGATCACTGCTAATTTCCGACAAGATATTGCTATTATCAAAGAAACTAGGGTCCGTTAAAATTCTTTCAGATTTCTATAGAGTTTTTGTGTTTTGATTCTATAAAACTCCATTGAAGATGATCTTATTATGAACTATCTTGATAGTTCTTAAGTCTCGTTTTACTAAAGATATTCTTTCCGAGTGTGAAAGAGAACAATTAGTTCCTTACCTGATAAGTGGTATTCATCATATGCACCGGTATAGCATGGGGCAGTGAATGATGATAGGGATTCTTGAGCAATATCGATAAAACTTCCATGCGTGAAGGTTTCGTTTCACGGCCACCATTCTTTAAGGTGCGTTCCAAAGCACGTTCACAATAGGCGGCATATTTGCCAGTTTCGGTTTTAGAATCAGCATTACGCGACAAATGTAGTTTCAAATACCACAATAGACGGCTAGATTTGGGTACAAATAAAGAAACGGCTAGAGATAATAGCTGCCATCCCTGGACAAAAGAATAAGCAGGAGGATTTGATTTGCAGTCTATAATAGGAGGAGGTACAGGAGCCTGTAAGGGGAAAGAGAAAGAAAATTTAAAAGTTTTTGGATAGTTCAGAGGAATTAAAAGAATTTTGTTTAAATTTAACATAAAAAACATGCTTTTTTGAAAACAATTTTAACACATATGCAAACACAATACCTGTAAGGAGGTGGGTGAACTGCCATTGGCTTGAGCATTACCACTTTGTTGAGTATCACAGGCAAATAAACTTTGCGTGGCACATAATAGTAGTTGCTGTAAATTTTTCATTTTTGATTTTTTGAAGATTTTTCGTTTCGAAAAAAACGTTACATTTTTCGATTTTTTTTTAAATATAGAAAAGAAAACGATATACAAAAAAATAGGCCAAAGAAACAAAATATATGGATAAAAAAAGTGCATTAAATTTTTTGGTTATAGCTTTTCTTTTTGATAAAAACAAATTTTGAGTATGAATTTTGTACAGTGTATTTATAATTTGATATAAAATAACACATTTAATAAATATTATTTAATTTTATTTTTGGGCAGTTCTGGACGTTTATAAAACAAACTCAATTTTTTTTTAAAGGGTATTTAATATAAAAAAGCGCCAAAATTAATTTAATAAAATCAAGAAAATTCAATTAAATTAATTAATTAAATTAAACAAAAATAAACTGAAATTTTGAAGAAAAACACTAAATACTAACAGAAAAAGTATTTGAAAAAATTATTATATTTTAATAAATTTTTTATTAAAAGAAATGCAAAACATTTATATATATTTTGTCATAAGTTATACATATAAAAAATATTTAATATTTAAGTTTAAAAATATGAAATTGTTTAAATGTTTTGGTTTTTGGGGCTAACAGAAAGAAAAAATATTAAAATTTACAGCAATTACATGTATGTACGTGTGTATTAACTTTTTTCATGTAGAATATTGTAAAAAATTTAAAAAAAGTTTTCAAAAAAGTTTTCAAAATAGTTTCAAAAACAGTTTTTTAAACAAAATGTGGTAAAGACAAGTGTTAACAGTAAATTTTTTTTTGTAAAAGTGTTAGTTAATTATTAAAAAACTAAGAGCTAAATATTTAAGTTTTAATAAAAAGTTTTGAACATTTTTTAAAATTTAAAATTTTTTAAAAAAAATTTTGAAATTTTCTTTAAATTTTCATATTCAAAACTCTTTAGTTTTGTTATTTAAGTTAATTTAACATGCATTACTAAACTACTTATAATGTACAAAAAAAAATAAAATATTGATTTTTTCAATATTTATTTTAAAAGCTGTTCAAAAGCTTTATGTAATAAAAGCAAAGCCAAAGTTTACCAAAAAAATATTTAAAGTTTAAGAAAAATTAAAAAAAAATTCTTTTCTATGGATCTTTTTCCATAGAAAATTTTATCACAATCTAATGATATTTTTTATTGAAAATTTCATTAGAAACTAATGATCTTTTCTCTAGAAAATTTCACCACAATCCAATGATCTTTTCCATAAAAAAATTTCATTACAATCTAACGATCTTTTTTATAGAAAATTTAATCACAAGCTAATGATCTTTTTCCATACAAAATTGCATTGGAATCTAAAGATCTTTTTCATAGAAAATTTCATTAAAATCTAATAATCTTTTCTCTAAAAAATTTCATTACAATCTACTGTTCTTTTACATAGAAAATTTCATTACAATCTAATGATATTTTCCATATTAAATTTCATTACAATCGAATGATCTTTTCCATACAAAATTTCATTAGAATCTAATGATCTTTTCCATACAAAATTTCGGTAGAATCTAGTGATCTTTTCTATAAAAAATTTCATCATAATTTAATGATCTTTTCTATAAAAAATTTCATCATAATTTAATGATCTTTTCTATATAAAATTTCATTAGAATCTAGACATATTTTCTGTACAAAATTTCTTTAAAATTTAGTGATCTTTTCGATTAAAAATTTTACCACAATCTATTAATCTTTTCCATACAAAATTTCTTTAGAATCTAATGATCTTTTCTGTTGAAAATTTCATCACAATCTAATGATCTTTTCCATAAAAATTTTTCATTAGAATCTAATGATCTTTTCTGTAGAAAATTTCACCATAATCTAGTGATCTTTTCTTTAGAAACTTTTCATTAGCATCTAATGATCTTCCCTATGTAACGGATCACCACAATGATCTATACAAAAAATCACCAAAATATGATGATCTTTTCTATATAAAGGATCGCCAAAATGTAATGTTATTTTTAATGTAAAATATCATCACATCTGCTGATCTTTTCTATAAGATTACGACAACCTGAAAATATTTTCTTTGAAAAAGATCACAATCTGTAATATTTTCTATAAAAAATATCTCCATAATGTGATGATCATTTCTATTTAAAAGGTCACTCCAAATGTAATAATGATTTTTACGTAAAGGATCCCCATAATGTGATGATCTTTTCTGTATAAAAGATCACTAGAAAATTATGATCTTTCTGTATAAAAGATCATGTTCTTGTTATGTAAGAGATCACCGCAATGTGATGACCTTGTCTATATAAAAAATCATCACCATGTGATAATCATTTCTGTGTAAAAGATCACCAAAATATGATGATCTTTTCTGTACAAAAGATCACTATAAGATGTTAATCTTTCTATATAAAAGATCATCAAAAAATACAAAATTATGATCTTGTTATATAAAAGATCACCAAAATATGATGATCTCCTCTATATAAAAGATTACTACAATGTGATGATATTTTTATGAAAGAGATCACCACAATGTGATAAACTTCTCTATATAAAAGATCATCACAATGTGATAATCATTTCTGTGTAAAAGATTCCCACAATGTGATGATCTTATCTGTATAAAAGATCACTACAAAATGATGATCTTTCTATATTAAAGATAAGCAAAATATGATGATTTTTCTATATTAAAGATCAGCAAAATATGATGATCTTCTCTATATAAAGATCACTACAATGTGATGCTCTTTTTATGTAAGAGTTCACCACAATGTTATGAACTTTTCTATATAAAGGATCATCACCATGTGATAATCATTTCTGTGTAAAAGATCGCCATAATGTGATGATGTTCTCTAAGTAAAAGATCAGCAGAATCTGATATTTTTCTCTATAGAAAATTTCACTATGTTGTACTGATCTCTCTATTGTAAATTTCATCCCATTATGGCGATATTTTCTATAGAGACATTTTTCAGATTGTAGTGAACTTTTCAAAAGAAAATTTCACCAGATTTCACCAGATTGTAGTGACCTTTTTCTAGAATAAAAAAGTGAGTGTCAAGTCTACAATGAAGTAATCTTTTTTATGTGGAAAATCGCCACAATGTGATCTATTCTATGTAAAATATCACCACGATCTTATAATTTTTTTCTATAGAAAATTTCACCATATTGTGAGATCTTTTCTATAGTAAATTTTATCCACTTGTAATGATCTTTTACATAGAAACTTTCTCTACAATCTACAGGAAATTGTACCAGATTTTGGTGATCTTTTTAAAATAAAATTTTACTAGATTCAGAAAATTGTTTCTATAGAAAAGTAAAAAGTGGAAGTCAAGTCCTTATATCCTCTATTATTTACAATTAAGTGCCGTTAGAGAGTCTCAGATATTTACAGAGATATTGTCTTTTATCTCCCTCTCTCTCTCTTTAATCTCTTATTTTTCTACAACTAAAAAATTCTCTAAAAATATAATATGGATTAGTGTATTAGATATTAAAACTAAATGAACTAAATTTCCAACTAAAACTCTAAAAACTAAACTAAAAAAATGGTAAAAACTAAATGAACTAAAATAAAAAAAAGCACTTTGCAACTTAAAAAACTTACGCGCGTTTGCTTGCCCAGTTTCTTGTTTACCTGGACGCCAACACTAAGTTTTTGGCCCGTATGTCTAGAGGTTTGTTTAATCAAAATACAAATCATTTCCGATTGTAATTCGGGCATATCCAAACAATGTTGTAAAGCATTTTGTGCCAAGACCACATGATAATCAATACCCGGTTGATTCACAGCAACGGACATAAAGAGTTGTATGCTCTGGAAAGGGAAAAGGTATCAATAAAATTAATATGTTTTTATAGAAAGAATTAGATTTATATAGAAAATACCTTGAATAGTTTAATGGCTTCTGGATGCATGGGTTCGGTGTGTAGAGTTGTCAAAGGAGCAGAAATAGTATCTTTGGTATGCAGCAATATGGGATGACGCCAAATCACACAATCTAATAAGAAAGGAACATTTTAGTTATTTAATTTCTGTAGATCTTTTCTATAGAAAATTTCACCAGATTGTGGAGATCTTTTCAATGGAAATTTTCACCAAATTTTGGTGATCTTTTCTATATAAAATTTCATCATATTTTGTTGATCTTTCCTATAGGAAATTGATCATTTCTATTGAAAATTTAATCAGATTGTAGTGATCTTTTCTAAAGAAAAGTTTCACCAGTTTGTGTTGATCATTCCATAGAAAATTTCTCCAGATTGTATTGATCTTTCCTATAGAAAAGGTCACCATATTGTGGTGATCATATCACCATATTGTGGTGATCTTTTCTATAGAAAACTTCACCAGTTTGTAGTGATCTTTTCTAAAAAAAAAAATCTAAAATAAAACTCACTAGGATCTCCATCTGTTTCCATTAACTTCTGCACCAATTGTTCATATTGAGAGCCAGCACTGGGTCCACCACCTGATACCACTGTCAAATGATACAACCAATTATCACGTTCCGCCTTGCCGGGTAATATCAAATAAGTAGGACCCTGATGAGCCGGATAGATGGCCACTGTTAAATGGGCCTGACTTTGAGGATCTTCTCTTTCCTCGGAATCAGAATCGGAAACATGTTCCACTTCTTCAACTCGGGCATCACGCATATTAATCTGACCCAAAGGATTCTGCTTTTGGTTTTATAAAAAAATAAAAAAAGGAATTATAGTTCCATTATGGGGATAAAAAATCAATATGCTTACAGTTTCATTGGGGGCCTTGAAGTACAAAAACATTTTGCCCAACAAAACACACCAGCATTTTTTGGCATGACCATTCTTGACCTTGGTAACCCAACCCTGTAATGTGGGCTTTTGATCATCTCTACTCAACAGCAATTTTGTGGCATTTCTTCTTTGCACATTTTGTAAAACCCTGATCCAATCATCCATGGTGGCATTGGAATCAGCAGTTAAATAGTATACTTTTTTACCGGTATCAATTTCAAAGGTGGAAGCTCCCTCCGCTTTATTAATGCGACATACTTCATCCAATAAAATCTGGCCTTGGGGTTTGCGATTGACATCATGCTGGCTCTTCCAGTAGGTGAGAGAGCCATTCTTTAAAACAAACCAACGTTTGCGCCAAGTCTTTAATTTGCCACCCAGCTTAGCTAAATGGCCAGCCTAGGTTCAAACACATAATTAGATATATAACTCTAATAAATGTCCCTTTAACTTCTACTTACCTTTTCCAATGACTCCAATTTCTTACTGGGTGAATCCACATACGATTGACGCATTAATAGTGAGGGCATGCTAGCATCCATGGGACAAGTGGATTCCGATACCGCATCGGGGGGCAGAGCATAATCATCGGAGAGGCCTGATTCAAATGAAATATCTGAAATTACTGTGCCACGCATAGGATGGTGAGGGACACGTAGATGATGATTGTTGGCAGACGAAAGCCTATGATATTGTGCTGGATTGGTTTGTGATGGTGATTTATGAAGATTCGGATTAGAGTTAGTGTGTAAATGTGTTTGATAGTGTGTATAGGGCAGGGGCATGGTATGGTGATTAAATTCATTATGAGACGTTTGTTGATGCAGATGATTTACTAGATATTGTGTTAAAATGGAGATTTAGGTTTTTTTTTATCGGTTGGGAATGAGTGTGTGAAGTGACATGCATTTGTGTAGGTGAATAATGGATTTGTTTTGGTGGGTTTAATGTAAAAATTTAAATAGTTTTTGTTTAGTATTTTGGTTTATATTATTAAATTGTCAAGGAGTTAAGGGCATTGGAGTTAAACTTAGCAAAATGCAGGTTTTAAACCAGGAATAAAATTAAAAAAACTTCATGCGTAAAATAAAAACAAAAACAAATCAAATTCTCTCCAAAGTAGCATCAGTTTGTCCTGATCTTTACTATGAAATGATCATGAAAAATACAATAATTTTGTGATGATATTTACTATAGAAAATATCATAATTTTGTGAGGACCTTTGCTATAAAAAGTCCAACTAGAAGAACTAGAACAGAACTAGAACAGAACTAGAACAGAACTAGAATAGAACTAGAACAGAACTAGAACGGAACTAGAACAGAACTAGAACAGAACTAGAACAGAACTAGAACAGAACTAGAACAAAACTAGAACAGAACTAGAACAGAACTAGAACAGAACTAGAACAGAACTAGAACAGAACTAGAACAGAACTAGAACAGAACTAGAACAGAACTAGAACAGAACTAGAACAGAACTAGAACAGAACTAGAACAGAACTAGAACAGAACTAGAACAGAACTAGAACAGAACTAGAACAGAACTAGAACTAGAACAGAACTAGAACAGAACTAGAACAGAACTAGAACAGAACTAGAACAGAACTAGAACAGAACTAGAACAGAACTAGAACAGAACTAGAACAGAACTAGAACAGAACTAGAACAGAACTAGAACAGAACTAGAACAGAACTAGAACAGAACTAGAACAGAACTAGAACAGAACTAGAACAGAACTAGAACAGAACTAGAACAGAACTAGAACAGAACTAGAACAGAACTAGAACAGAACTAGAACAGAACTAGAACAGAACTAGAACAGAACTAGAACAGAACTAGAACAGAACTAGAACAGAACTAGAACAGAACTAGAACAGAACTAGAACAGAACTAGAACAGAACTAGAACAGAACTAGAACAGAACTAGAACAGAACTAGAACAGAACTAGAACAGAACTAGACAGACTAGAACAGAACTAGAACAGAACTAGAACAGAACTAGAACAGAACTAGAACAGAACTAGAACAGAACTAGAACAGAACTAGAACAGAACTAGAACAGAACTAGAACAGAACTAGAACAGAACTAGAACAGAACTAGAACAGAACACAGTGGGACAGAATGGAAATTTTTTGGAAATAAATCTGGCATTTCTAAACGGCTGATCCGATCGGGATAAAATTTGGCGTGAGCGTAGCCAAGGAGTATTCGAGTTTAAGTTTTGAAGATGAACCCTGCAGATGCCCCAGGGACGGCGCTGTGGCGGCTCAAAGTAGGGTACCTACGACATGTAAAATTTTTAAACTCGTGCCATTTTTTTGTTTTTCACCCAAATACAAAGATTTTTATATTTTGTGAAAGCGCTCGACGAGATCTTGAAAAAACATGCTTGGACATACTACTTATCTCTTATAATATCCGAGTTATAGGCATTTAAAAATTTAGTGATACAAAATTTACCATACCTTGGTCCGCCTTTTTTTGAATACCGGGCGTAATTTTGGACCAAATGGACTCAATTTTTTCTTGTTAGTTAGACAACAAAATTTCCAATAATATACAAAAAATTTCAGATCAATATCGTTTACAGATCCAAAAATATACGTTTTTTAATTTAAAAATTCAAAAATTTTTAGATTTTTGGCGTTTTTTTGCCAAAAATGTGTCTTAACTCTTTTATTAATAAAATAAAATTTTTATTAAGAACATATAACAATTTTATAGTTTTCTAAAAGGTATCTTTACGCAGAACGCTTTGGCGTAAAAAACTAGTCCTATTTTTTGAAAATGTTGCCACTGCGTCCTTCCGAATATGACCTATTTTTTATCAAAACTTCAACTTTGGGCGACATGTTCTAAAATCCCAAAGCTGGGATCAGAAAACTGAAAGCAGTTTTGGAAACCTCAATATGTTTTCTATTTACTCCAAAAGTATTTTCCCAGCCCTGAAAGAAATGTGGACCCTATGGGCAAAAAAATAAAAAATCCCATTTTTGGGATTTTCATTCCTATTTTTGGGAATTGCGGGATGCCCTTTGACCTTTTCAATTTGTTTTTGTATATTCTTATTTGAAATGACAAATTTAACAAGCGTTGAAAATTTCATTGAGTTTTGTTCATAAATAAAGATTTTGTCATATATTACATATTTGTTTAATTTCTAAAACTATGATTTATATCAAAATTTTAATAGGATCGCAGATAGCTACAACAATTTAGTCCATATTTATCCCTTAATATAATTTTTTAGTTAGATATGGAAATTCTCGACCCTTTACAAAAAATTTCAAGCCAATATCTCAATTACATTCAAAAATATGTTCATTTAAACCTGTGTCCTTTAATTTCATCTTTTTCATATTTTAGTATTAAGTATGACAGAACATACATTTGGTGTTGAATAAAATATTTGGACAATTTTTAAAAATTATTTAGTTAATTATTTTATTATAATATTGTATATTAAATAAAAAAAATTATAATTTTATTATGAGCCACGCACAACAACACCTAAATCACCCCACACAAATTACCTTTCCCGCCCACCGAAATATAAAACACAATTTAATACAATATCATCAGTTAGTATAATAGCTTTTTTTATTTGAACTGTTTATCTTAAACATAATACAATTAATTCTTACAACCTACTTATATAGTTAATTCCTAACACTACTTATTTTCTATAAAATAATCTGTCATATCGGTATACATATCCAGAAGGTAATATAAGTCCTTTAAATCTTCCTTGTTTTGAGATGATAGAGTTTCATAACAAATCCATCTTTTTCGCATAGTTGAAAGAACAGGATCAGAAGATAGAAGTAAACTATTAAAAATATCTTCATTCTGTGATTGCCTGGAGCATTTTCTTGAGCTGAATAGTTGAACATGCTTAAAATCTCGATTCCTCGCTTCCTGGGCTTCTTCTGTTAACTCTCCAAGTGGAAGAATATTCGATTCAATTATTATTTGACCATGACACAATACTTTGTGTACTGTTGGTGTTAGTTCCCTCCATGGATACAGAGATACAAGTAATTTAGAAATTTCAGATATGTATTCCCCAAATTGATTTTCATTAATTTTATGTTTACTATTCAGTGCCATTAAAATAGTTTTAACTCTTCGAAGCAACTCCTTGTCGATTCCAGTTATTTTTGAAGTAATTTCAAAATCACGAAAAAACCTTCTCGACGTATTACCGTCATTTGTACTACCGTAACTTGAAAGTGGTTTGTCGATGTTTAATCCCATCTGAACTTTAAATTCTTCTTGTATTCTGCTTTTTTCCGCAGCTCTCAGTTCTTTCAATTCTTCATTATTTTTTGTTGATTTAGTAGGATTGTTTTTTTTTTTTTTTCCTGGATCGCCTTGTATGATGGTAATATATTGTGTCCTTTTTCATGCAGAGCTTTTCTTTTTCCTCTTCAGTAAAATTTGATTATGATGTTGGAGTTGGTATACTTTCCACAATTCGCTTAAGTCGTTTTGGTGATGCATTAGGAAGAATAGTTGCAATATGTACGACATCCATATGTTGGTTTTCCTTTTTCAGCATTTCGTTAAATGTATCAGCAATTTCCTCATTTGAGATTGAAAAAAGTTTTTGTGTGACCCTCTTTTTTTTTACCTTGAACATAAGTCTTCGTATGACTTGCAAGGCGCTCCTATTGATGTGTTGTAAGTTGAGATTTCCGTAGTAGTTTCCATCCAACTACAAAATTTTAATCGAAATTTCTTTTGATTTCCATCCACAGACTTACTTTTTACATCAAAAAGTTTTAAAAAGTTTTCAATTTTTGATATGCCTGTTTTGTCTACTTTTCTACTATATGTAGTTTTTATATAATTTGAAATGTCTTCAATTCTTTCTGGCCCTTTTGAAGATATACTCCATAAAACGGAACACAACTCTTCGTACTTTAATTTAATCTTCATTGTAGATTTATTAAATATGGTACTTAAAATCTGAGAAGTTTACTTATATACCAATTCTTGTCATTTCCGATACAGGTATTCCAAAGTAAAAAATTACGAATTGTCTACCTATTAACATTTAGGACTATATTACTATAACCTGTAATTCAGTCATTGATATTTCTTATTAGTGAATGAATCGAAATTATCATTACCTGTACATTTTTACCTACATGATCATAAACGAAACAGAACGAAATGATCTGTCGAAAAAATTGAGGTAAAAAATAGTTATAAATTTTTGAAAATTTAAGCATAATAGGACCTTTCAATTATAAGGATAAGCAAACAAATAGAAAATAGGTAAAGAGATAAGATTTAAATATGTTCTGTCATACTTAATACTAAAATATGAAAAAGATGAAATTAAAGGACACAGGTTTAAAATGAACATATTTTTGAATGTAATTGAGATATTGGCTTGAAATTTTTTGTAAAGGGTCGAGAATTTCCATATCTAACTAAAAAATGATATTAAGGGATAAGTATGGACTAAATTGTTGTAGCTATCTGCGATCCTATTAAAATGTTGATATAAATCATAGTTTTAGAAATTAAACAAATATGTAATATATGACAAAATCTTTATTTATGAACAAAACTCAATGAAATTTTCAACGCTTGTTAAATTTGTCATTTCAAATAAGAATATGCAAAAAAAAAAATTGAAAAGGTCAAAGGGCATCCCGCAATTCCCAAAAATAGGAATGAAAATCCCAAAAATGGAATTTTTTACTTTTTTGCCCATAGGGTCCACATTTCTTTCAGGGCTGGGAAAATACTTTTGGAGTAAATAGAAAACATATTGAGGTTTCCAAAACTGCTTTCAGTTTTCTGATCCCAGCTTTGGGATTTTAGAACATGTCGCCCAAAGTTGAAGTTTTGATAAAAAATAGGTCATATTCGGAAGGACGCAGTGGCAACATTTTCAAAAAATAGGACAAGTTTTTTACGCCAAAGCGTTCTGCGTAAAGATACCTTTTAGAAAACTATAAAATTGTTATATGTTCTTAATAAAAAATTTATTTTATTAATAAAAGAGTTAAGACACATTTTTGGCAAAAAAACGCCAAAAATCTAAAATTTTTTGAATTTTTAAATTAAAAAACGCATATTTTTGGATCTGTAAACGATTGTAAATTGAGTCCATTTGGTCCAAAATTACGCCCGGTATTCAAAAAAAGGCGGACCAAGGTATGGTAAATTTTGTATCACTAAATTTTTAAATGCCTATAACTCGGATATTATAAGAGATAAGTAGTATGTCCAAGCATGTTTTTTCAAGATCTCGTCGAGCGCTTTCACAAAATATAAAAATCTTTGTATTTGGGTGAAAAACAAAAAAATGGCACGAGTTTAAAAATTTTACATGTCGTAGGTACCCTACTTTGAGCCGCCACAGCGCCGTCCCTGGGGCATCTGCAGGGTTCATCTTCAAAACTTAAACTCGAATACTCCTTGGCTACGCTCACGCCAAATTTTATCCCGATCGGATCAGCCGTTTAGAAATGCCAGATTTATTTCCAAAAAATTTCCATTCTGCCCCACTGTGCAGAACTAGAACAGAACTAGAACAGAACAGAACTAGAACAGAACTAGAACAGAACTAGAACAGAACTAGAACAGAACTAGAACAGAACTAGAACAGAACTAGAACAGAACTAGAACAGAACTAGAACAGAACTAGGGCAGAACTAGATCAGAACTAGAACAGAACTAGAACAGAAATAGAACAGAACTAGAACAGAACTAGAACAGAACTAAACAGAACTAGAACAGAACTAGAACAGAAGTAGAACAGAACTAGAACAGAACTAGAACAGAACTAGAACAGAACTAGAACAGAACTAGAACAGAACTAGAACAGAACTAGAACAGAACTAGAACAGAACTAGAACAGAACTAGAACAGAACTAGAACAGAACTAGAACAGAACAGAACAGAACTAGAACAGAACTAGAACAGAACTAGAACGGAACTAGAACAGAAATAGAAAAGAACTATATCAGTTTTTTAATTTTGTGATGATCTTTGCTATAGAAAAGGTCCACATTTTATGATGATCAATTACGATCGGTCTAATAGTTGGTCATTTAATAAAAAATTCCATATCTACTTTAACTAAATAATAAATAATATGAATAAAAAAAATAATTTTTAACGGAATTTTCGGGGTAGGATTTCAACATTTTGGGAGGATTTTAGTGTTAGTGTTTTTGTTTAGTTGTTACCATTTCCAAATTTTACGTATATCGGATTTCATTACAAGGGGTCTTTGTTAATCTACCAACAATTCATTAACTACGCATTCAATAGAAAAGGAGATAGAGTTGTTTTGTACAGAAAAAGGAGAAGGGTGCTGTGTTTTTGGATTGGTCTTGTGCAAACATACCTCTTGGTTTAGTATTTTTAGGACTTTCCGAACCGCTACGTTTAGCGGGACTTAAGGATGACGAAGTTTTACAACTTTTTGAAGGACTGGAAGCACTACCGGATGTTGAAGTCTCTGTATTATCGGTACTTGAAGAGTTGTGTGAATTGTGGGTGAGCATAACGGCATGATCTTCACCATCGCTGGAATCATCGCTAGAGTCGCCGGTAAAGGGCATGGAACGTATTTGAGAAGCGCGCTGTAAAGAAAAAAAAGAAATTTTTGTGAAAAATATTGAGTTTATTTGTTATTATAATGATTATTACTCTGCGCCAAGAAATATTCTATAAATTTTAAATCCTAGCCTACTTTTAGGCATTTTAAACAGTTTTCTATAAATTTTAAATTTCCTTTTCATGCAGCTGTTATATTTTAATAGAAAGGCACTTTGTCAGAAACATTATCGGGAACTTTAACATTTACTTTTTAAGTTTAACCTTTTAACAACTTTAAAACAATATTTCTTGCCTATTTTTAGGCTATTTAATAAATTTTATTAATCAATAATTTCTATATTTGGTTCAATCTATTGTTATTTCTATAAATTGTAAAATTACAACTTGATTTCTTTGGAAATCATAAAAATATGTGGCATATTTTTAGGTTGTTAAACTTTTTTTTTTAATTTTAAATTCTGTTTTATTTTTGGAATAAAACAACGTACTTTCCATCAACCTAAAAATCATTTATAATGTAAAGCATATATTTTTAGCAGCATAAACATGTTCTCTCTTAATATATACATATATATGACAGCAAAACGTGCTGTTTTGTTTAACATCATTTTTTAAAGCATACTTGAGGGTGTTGTAAATAACAAAACAAGCATAGCATACAGACAACAACATTAAGAAAAAGTTTGAAATAAATTTTGAAAACAAAACAAAACCAAACAAATTTTAATAGTGTTTTAAAAAATACATATATTTAGTGTTGCCTAATTTGGGGAGCATTAAAAAAGTTGTTACTATGAACCGTGGCCAGTTATTGAAGGAATTTTTATAGAAAATGTTGATATTTTGATTGCTAAATAACCTCGTATTTGTTATCCTTACTACAAAATCGATCACGATGAAACGATCATATTTTCATTAATAAAGTTCGTCACAAAATACTGATATTTTCTATAGTAAATTTCATCACAAAATTATGTTTTTTTCTCTAATAGAGATCAACTCAAAATTATGATCTTTTCAGTAGTAAAGATCAACACTAAATGATGATCATTTTGGTAGTAAAGATCATCACAAATGATCGTATTGGTGGCACAGATCGTCATAAAGTGACGATTCTTTCGGTAGCAAAGATCATCATAAAGTGATGATCGTTCTGGTAGCAAAGATCATCATAAAGTGATGATCTTTTCTATAGTAAATATATTCAAAGAAGGATGATCTCTTCTATAGTAAAGATCGTTTCAAAATTATCATTGTTGCTAAAGATCATCACAAAATGATGAATTGTGTTGGTAGTAAAGATCATCACAAAATGGTAATCATAAAGTGATGATCTTTTCTGTAGTAAATATCATCAAAAAGGATGATCTCTTCTATAGATCGTTTAATGTTCAAATGATGATCGTTTTAGTAACAAAGATCATCATAAAGTGATGATCATTTTGGTAGCAAAGATCATCATAAATCGATGATCTTTTCTATATAGTAAAGTATATAGTAAAGATCATTGTTGCTATAGAAAAAATCATAACAAAATAATGATATTTTCTTTAGTAAAGAAATCTTATGATCTTTTCTAAAGTAATATCATTAGAATCTGATATATGATTCATTTTTTAATGAAGAGTTCATGATTATTTCTAAAGTATGATTCATAAGAATCTAATGATATTTTCTAAAGCAAGATTCGTCAGCATCTGATGATATTTCCCAAAGAACGATTCATTAGAAACTGATGATCTTTCCTACAAAAGATTCATCATACGGCGAGGAGGTTTTCTAAAGAAAATTCATCAAAATCATATGACATTTTCTAAAGAAAGATCGCCATTATCTGATGGTTCATTCTGAACCTTTGCTTCCCTTATAATCAAGTCTACTTACCCCTTTAACTGTTGCATAAACGGGCACTGATATATCACAGAAACCTCCACTGGCCGTCTGCTGTTGCCTTGTAGGCAGTTGAGGTGTTAAGGGCGTTGTGGTGCCCTCATTCAGAGAAGCGGGCGTATGACGACCCTGGTGACCTCCCGTATTATTTAAGGTATTAGAGTGACTATTTGCTGCACTAGTAGTAGATTCCTGAATATCGGGTGGGGGAGGTGGTGGCTGAGAATGTCTATCTAAAGTGCCACCATTCTCGGAGGCTCCTGCCAAACCATCGTTGGCAACTTGATAGATTTTAGCCTCCCAAGAGGGGAAACGATGTAGAGGGGGCGTGGGGGGTCTAGGAACCCCACCCATTTCACTGGTGGTGGTGGTAGTACTCGAATTACCACCACTAGCCATTAAAGCTGGATTATTCTTCATCCAGGCTGGCATTTTCTCACAGGAGGGGGTATAGATTTCAGCATAATCATGAGCCGTATCGGTATCAGAACTATCGGGACGACCATTCTTAACCGAAGCCGCCTGTTTTGATATGCTAGCCAGAGGCGCTAACTGTAGACCATCTACAGCCGCCACTAGATTACGTTCCAACTCTGTAGGCTCCATGGATAGATTTCTTCTATGCTGATGATGAGGATAAGAGGCAGTTAGGGGACGATTTATGATTTCTTGGGTATCTAAACTTTCGCTACGTCTACGATTCTCTTTGGAGGCGGCAAAATCTTGCACATCCAAACTTAAACTATTTCTAACGGGACCTATAACACTATGTCTATTCGATTGATTGGCTATATAGTTTTTTAATAATTCCAACTGTTGATTGCACTTTTGATTTTGTTCTCTCAATAATTGATTTTGTTCTTCGAGGTCGCGTAGTTTATTGTTGACCCACTCTTTGATTTTGGCCGCTTTGGCTTCGATTTGTTTGGCGTCTTGCAAACGCAATTGACGTTGTTCTTCGACTTGGTATTCCAAAGAATTTATAGTTTTTTCAGCATCTGGAAGACTTGAGGATAATTGTTGTTGTTGTTGCTGTTGACTGGCAGTTAAAGTTGTTGAATTGGCTGGAGTTTGTTGCTGAGCTTGTTGTGTTGATTGCTGCTGCTGTTGTTGGCCTTGATGATTCGATGAGCTGTTGTTGGTGTTGGCTGTGGTTGGTGGAGGTTTTGGCCATTCACTCAACCTTTGTTCCATAGCCCGCACCTAAATGAAGCGAAAAACAAATAAAAATAATCCAGATTAATATAAATGTCTAAAAGTAGACTTCAGTTTTTAGTTTATCAACAGCCTAGAGATATGCTAAGCCTTTGTTATAATGTAATACAATAGTAAACTAATCATTTAACTTTAAAACTTTACAAATAATTATAATTTGTTTCTTACAGCCTAAAATTAGGCTGCTATTCTTATATTTGTATTTTAGCCTAAAATTATGCTGCATTTCTTACCAAAACTGGTAAATTGTTTTGTTAAATATTACAAATAACTATAATTTGTATATTTAAATCTAAAATTATGCTTCATGTGTAACTCAACCCCAAAATTATACTTTATTTTATATTTCACTTATAGTAGCCTTAGTATATGCTTTATTTTTTAAACCTTTAAGTATTTCTCTGTTAAAATATCTACAACATATTTAAAATTCCTTTATTATTCAAAATTCCCGTATCGTATCAAATAAAATATTCATACATTTTTAGCTGCGCCACCTCAGACACGCTCAAGTCCTAATGTCTTTTTTTCAACGGAAACAAAAAACTTTGCATTTCCGTTACTCCTTAAAAAAGCAACAAATTCTCGCCTAACAACTTAGCTAGACGTCTGTTAAAAGAACTGAATTAAGTTCTTATAAAAATTGCTTTACTTTCAATGTTACTTTTTCATTGTTAAAACAAAAAGTAATGTATACTTTTAGGAGGCAAAAAAAGTAATTAAACAGTTCGCGTGTTTGCTAAGACTGCGTGCATTAGGAAAATATATTTTTCTCTTTACAATGTTTATGCAGCTGTTGGGGGAATGAGATTTTTTTCTTGATATTTTAAGTTTTTGAAAAGTTTTTCTTTCACAAAAAAATATTTACTTCTTTTGTTATCTGTATTGTTAGTAATTATCGCATTATCCTTTTAAAAATCCTTGGATGAAAAACTCAAGTCTCAAAATTAAGTTAGAAACAAAGATAAGAAACATTTATGGTTTTCCTTTCCGCAAAACAAAAAGTTTTTAATAATTCCCGCATGTAGTAATAGAAAGATCAACAAGAAAAGAAAGGAAAACTAAAAAGGAGACCAAATGGATGCAGGAATTAAAAGAGAATCAGATTTTGAATATGGCGCCTAAAAGTATGCTACAAGACTAATAAACATTGACTAGATTGTAGTTTATACTAGGGTCTACTGCACTAGAACAGAACTAGAACAGAACCAGAACAGAACTAGAACAGAACTAGAACAGAACTAGAACAGAACTAGAACAGAACTAGAACAAAACTAGAACAGAACTAGAACATAACTAGCACATAACTAGAAGAAAACTAGAACAGAACTAGAACAGAACTAGAACAGAACTAGAACAGAACTAGAACTGAACTAGAACTGAACTAGAACAGAACTAGAACAGAACTAGAACAGAACTAGAACAGAACTGGAACAGAACTAGAACAGAACTAGAACAGAACTAGAACAGAACTAGAACAGAACTAGAACAGAACTAGAACAGAACTAGAACTAGAACAGAACTAGAACAGAACTAGAACTAGAACAGAACTAGAACAGAACTAGAACAGAACTAAAACAGAACTAGAACAGAACTAGAACAGAACAGAACTGGAACAGAACTGGAACAGAACTGGAACAGAACTAGAACTAGAACAGAACTAGAACAGAACTAGAACAGAACTAGAACAGAACTAGAACAGAACTAGAACAGAACTAGAACAGAACTAGAACAGAACTAGAACAGAACTAGAACAGAACTAGAACAGAACTAGAACAGAACTAGAACAGAACTAGAACAGAACTAGAACAGAACTAGAACAGAACTAGAACAGAACTAGAACAGAACAGAACTAGAACTAGAACAGAACTAGAACAGAACTAGAACAGAACTAGAACAGAACTAGAACAGAACTAGAACAGAACTAGAACAGAACTAGAACAGAACTAGAACAGAACTAGAACAGAACTAGAACAGAACTAGAACAGAACTAGAACAGAACTAGAACAGAACTAGAACAGAACTAGAACAGAACTAGAACAGAACTAGAACAGAACTAGAACAGAACTAGAACAGAACTAGAACAGAACTGAACTAGAACTGAACTAGTCCACTTTATAGTCTGGGTTGTAGTCTTGTTTACATTTTAGTTTATAGTCTAGTCTATAGTCGGGCAGCAGACTATATTATAGTTCAGACTATACAATACATAAAAAGCCTTGAAAAAAGCTTTGTATTGGTCACCTTTTTAAATGTAAAAAAAGTGTTTTTTTTTCTCCTCTTTAGTAAAACATTAATTATGGCCAAATTAACCATGAATAATTCTTGGCATGTTTAGAAAAACACCAAGCGCAAACCGTCTTAATTACAAGCTTAAACAGCAAAACCTCTACATATACATTTGTTAGGAGTACATATTTTTTGCCCAGTAAAGTATGCAGTGTTTTTTTGGTAATTTACTAGAAAAAAACGCAAAATGTGAAGCAAAAAATATATACATTTTAAAACACCATAAAAAGTTGCTGTAGAAGCGAAAAAACAGCAAAAAAAGAAATAAAATAGGAAAATATAATAGAAATTACTTGGCACCTAGAAATAGGCAACAAAATATGTGAAAATGGTAAAAAAAATAACAAAAAATGTATAAGAATTAGTTACAAAATATGCAATTGTTTTGTTTTTCTTTTGCACCTTTAGATATGCTTTATAAATTTATTGTTATAATTTTTGATGTCGTTTTTTCTTAGCCCCTTTGTATAGACTTTTAAAAATTATTTTATTATAATTTTCTGTTCATTTATTTCTTAGTTTTCTTCAACCTTTTCTTTACAATTTCCTAAAATGTCATACTAAATTTCTTGTTTAACATCTAGTTGACACTTTAATAAATTTCCATTTGTTACCCCAGCATTGCAGCCTTTGTGTATGCAATATATTTGTTAACTTAAAAACGCATTGGCTTAAGGATAGCTTGTGAATTCATTCTCACCATAAAATTTTAAATTTTGTAGCTGAATTCTTAGGAATACATAAATTTTGATTTTTATATGACAAGCTAAAAACATGTTTTACTATTCAGCCTGTCAGTTAGACTATAAAATTTGTTTTAAAGCTAAGATTTTATGGTTGCTGTAAAACATAGAAGAAATAGGGTCAGTGGTGTTAATAAATATTAAAGCAGTTAATGGAGATTTTTGTGTTAAAAGAAAGAAATTTGAAAAGAAATGTTGAATTGCATATTAAATAATGCAGCCTACTTTTAGGGGGAAATTGTATATTGCATATTTAAAGTAATTTGTGGTATCTTTTTAGGTTTCTTCTTAATAGAAAGGTTTTAAAATTAGATCTGGCAATAGATTAGGCTCCATTTCTTGAACTATATTGTAGTCCAGCCTATAGTTTGGACCTCTAAGTTCTAAAAATTTAAATTTTAAATCCTCAAACTCAAAACCTTTTGGTCTCAAATAAAATTCTATTAAAAACTTTTATCTTTAAAGTTTTTAATTTTCTATTTATTTTTTTTCACTTCAACGCTTTTTCTTCGTAAAACTTAAAACTCTTAAGAACATTTCTGTTCAACAAACTGCATAAAATATGCAATACATTTTACTCGTAACTTGATTATATATGCCACCTTATAGTATGCTTTATTTTAAGCAATTTTTTTTGCTAAAAAACTTGTCTTCACAAAACACAAAAAGTTTTTAATGAAAAAAACATAAGATATTGAACAAAACATCTTACAAAAAAGGTTTTTGTCTTTACTTTTAGCCTAATAGTTAGGCTATTAATTTTCTATAGACAAAAAACTTTTCCTAAACTTATGTTAATGTGTTCAAAGTTTTGCTTCTTAATAAAACGTTTTAGTAATTTTTATATAAAAAAACTAAACCTAAAAAGCCACAAACTTTTTGTTTAAATATCATAGCATATTTTTATGCATAAATTATTTGAAATCTATGGTGGTTGACTTTTAAATCAAGACGCCAGCAAAAAGTACAAAACCCTGTTTTGTGTTAACTGTCTAGCCAATTTTATGGAGTTTCACAATTGTTTTCAGTTTAAAAAGAAACGCAGCCAATGTAAGTGTCTTGTTGTTTTTTTGTTATGTAGCATAGTTTTTGGCTCTTAACTTAGCACATTCCTAATTGTGTTTTCTATAAAAAAATATGTGTAAAAAATTTTACATTACAAGCACTATAAATATTGCTATTGACAATTCTTAACAATGATTTTGTTATTTATTATGTCTGGGGAGATTTAACACGATGACATGCATACTTTACGGAGAATTTATGTAAATTTTCTATGCATAGTTTACTTAAAGGATTTAATGCGATTAAAAACTATTGCCAGGGAGAAAATACAAAATAAAATAGTAATAATTCAGTAGGGTAGCCCTCAGTTTACTGAACTATAGACTATAGTCTGAATAATAGCCTAGATTGATTTAGTCTAGTCTATAGTCTAGTCTATAGTCTAGTCTATAGTCTAATCTATAGTCTAGTCTATAGTATAGTCTATAGTCTAATCTATAGTCTAGTCTATAGTCAAGTCTATAGTCTAGTCTATAGTCTAGTCTATAGTCTAGTCTATAGTCTAGTCTATAGTCTAGTCTATAGTCTAGTCTATAGTCTAGTCTATAGTCTAGTCTATAGTCTAGTCTATAGTCTAGTCTATAGTCTAGTCTATAGTCTAGTCTATAGTCTAGTCTAGTCTATAGTCTAGTCTATAGTCTAGTCTATAGTCTAGTCTATAGTCTAGTCTATAGTCTAGTCTATAGTCTAGTCTATAGTCTAGTCTATAGTCTAGTATATAGTCTAGTCTATAGTTAGTCTATAGTCTAGTCTATAGTCTAGTCTATAGTCTAGTCTATAGTCTAGTCTATAGTCTAGTCTATAGTCTAGTCTATAGTCTAGTCTATAGTCTAGTCTATAGTCAGTCTATAGTCTGTCTATAGTCTAGTCTATAGTCTAGTCTAGTCTAGT